TCTCGATCGAAGAGCCCCCAGTTTCCTAAATGGAAAATGGAAGGAATCCTTCGGTGACGGTTTAAGCCGAAAATCGGGCTTAAGCTTTTACGAAGCGACCCGTCCACGACAAGGTTTCGGACCTGGAGTGGCCACCGTCGCGCACTTCTGAATAATCCCCGGTACATCGGGTCGACGGTCGAGCCACGAGTACATAATATCCCCCTGGATAATCAGGATAATCATCCAGGGAAGTTATTGCGCTTTGCTCGAGTAGGTGTACGATGTGGAAAAGGAGGCACAAAATGCGGCATCCTCGCGAGGTCGCGGACCCTTCAAGGCCTGAAACTTCCAATTCGCGGACTCGCAGCGGTGGCAGCTTTGATCGTTTACGCGTATCATAAAAACGAAAAGCACTCGATAATGCTTTCATTCTCTGTTCCATTCGACGTTCCAAACAGGGTCTTATCCCTAACGGTGTAAAATCGTCGGAGGCAGAAAAGAAAGAAGGCTTTGGCTCTATATTCCTCTCGAAGCTGCATATAGTCGACGGCGGAAGACCGTGCTCGCCTCTCCTCGCGAAGAGAGACGAGTTCGTCTCGGGAATAATTTGGAGCTTTCAAGTTGTACACCTTGTGTGGGGAGTTAAACCGTTAGTACGTGGAACGTCGTAAAATTAGTCAGCATGAAAAGGTTGCTCTCGGTGCGGCCGTTCGAGTTGAATTCGCCATTCCGTAGGGACATAAAGCACGGCATAATGGTCCTCCTTAAACACGGGCCTCGGGCCCGTTCTCCAAATGCGCTGGCCCTTCCAAAATAATTCCCTGGCTGTCCCCGAAAAGCTCACCGTGCTCTTATTCGAGCATTTAATCGGCGTTAATGGACTTAATTAACAAAGTATCGAAATATCTCTCTCGACGCGACTTTTCTTCTGAGCCGCCTTTTGCCTCCCAACCCGAGGAAAGTATCGTGTACAGCTACAGGGAATTAATTACGACGATAATATATTTTATACATTTTCCCTAAGGCACCTGCGGATCGATACGATGGATCGAATTCCCAATTTGCTAAGTCTCGATGTCGCTGAATCGAGTTGCCCTCCACCCATGGCATTCGATACTCTCGCATTATGTGCCAAGGACTGCCTTAAATCCCCCATCCCGGAGTACGTATCGTATACAGATATAGCGTATTAATTACAATCATTTCCTGCCACTTATACTCGTCCGAGATTTAAATTATAGATATCCTCTCTCGAGGCCGGGCGGAGGTTGGCCCTCTCTCTCCCTCCTCGAAGAGGTCCAAGATTACAGGGTGTACGCGCGAACGCAAAGGCGCATTTCAGAAATCGGACTCAACCCGTAACACCCGGGTCAAGGGTCGTGCCCCCAAAATTCCTCGATCGATCCACGATCGATCCTCGATCGTTTCCGCCGCTCGAAATCACGAGCCACGGTATTCCCTCCCGGGGAACCCTCCAAAGGATCGTTTACAAATTATTCCCCGTTTCGGGAGAACGCAATTTTCGCGAACTGTGTAATTACGCTCTTCTCCGGTTTAATGGCCACTCGGAAGTCTCCGTTATCCTGAACCGTGTTTCGGGATTTCTATGGGAGGAATCCTGACTGGAGATATTTTCCCGATACTCTCTATACTGGGGAATAATTTATTCAAAGTCAAGGCTGGAGAGGTCGAGAAAATCGGACGTCTCAGGCGGAGCGCCGATCGATACCGGCGATCGACCGCGGTCGGTGGCTATCGGATCGGCCCGGTGGAATCTGAAAATTAGCAGATCCCACTCGGATACGGCGGGCGGGCCGGTCGATGTCGATTCGGCGGTTTGTCGGCATTTTGCCGGCATCCCGCCGTCCGAGCCGTGAGAACGCAGCCCGGGGGCGACCTCTCGATCCTGGAAGCAAAACGCAAGTTTCGTTCCCACAAGCCCTCGAGTCTCTTTTCGCTGCTGATCGAGCACGCCGGAATTGGCTCCATACATCACCGAATGTCAAAGCCGATCCCCGAAATTCGAGCGACTCCTCGAGCCGGAGATAATCGGCCTCGATCGAGCGCCTCGTAATCAAGGAAAGGGAACAAGACTCGGCAGAGTTTCGCGCCAAGCGCAGTTGCATAGACGGTGGGATTCTTAGCCGAGACTCTGCCCCGAGAAAAAATAGTATTAAACCGTTCCCACGTGAGCCGTGAAATAGGCGCTAGTCTCTAAAAACGATATGGTAACAAGTACAATAGTTTGTAAAGTTCTTCTTTCTGTATTTGTTTATCATATCCCTTTCAGGGACTGGCGCCTACTTCACAACTGCAAACGCCTTTCTCAGCGCGAATCCTTGACTTAAGTTTAAGAATCATTCGCGTTATATTTTTATTCTTACTTCTAGCTCGGTGTATAACCTATAAACGTGGTCCTCGGGTGTAGGTAAAATTGATTCGCCGTCCTTCGAACAACAGGTGCGTTGGATTAGCGGATTTGGCACTGCGACTGGTCTACTTTCTTCTCCACTGTGATCGGTGATACTTGCGAATCGAATCGGAGGCTCGACGAACGAGAGTTTATTCGCTCGGAAGTCAGTGAAAACGTTTTCCTTCTTTGAGAGCCAATTGCCTTTGATTCCATATGATAGAGAACGGTGCGACTCGGTAACAAGTGACGTTCGGCCTTAAAATTCTGACAGCGGTGATTTCCAAAGATTTCCAGTGATTTCTGTTTGCGATCTCCAGATTTCCGCATCAGCGTTAAAATCCATGATTTCCTGAGTGAATATCCCCTCGTCGAAGAACCTTCGTTGAGAGCCGATTGCTTTTGATTTCATATGATAGAGAACGATGCGACTCGGTAACAAGTGACGTTCAGCCTTAAAATTCTGACAGCGGTGATTTCCAAAGATTTCCAGTGATTTCTGTTTGCGATTTCCAGCTGATTTCCGCATCAGCGTTAAAATCCATGATTTCCTGAATGAATATTCCCTCGTCGATGAAGAATCTCATCCGAAGGGGCGGCGTAACCGCGGCTACGCCCGATTGAGCGGTTCCGCGGAATTCGGACGGGCCTCTCGCGTTTCCAATTTGGCGAAACGCGAGACCGCGAGAGATGATTTTTGCAAGGGCCGACCCGAAGGGCTGCTTTACGAGCGGCATAAATCACGGGTCGTGCACGCGAGTGTGAGTGGGCGGAACGCCACGGCACCGCATCGTACACCATAAATTTTATACGTGTTCATTGTGGTGGCCGAGTCGCCGAGTGTTCGTTGCGGTGCCTCTCGAGATCTCCGCCCTGGAAAACCGCCCGCTTTCGGCGAGGCCCCTCCGCTGGTCTTTCAAATCGTCTTTTCTATCCCTTCCTTTAAATTCCTAGCTGAGAGATTCCAGGTTCCGACTCCTCCGCCACCGTTCCCCAGAATCCTAAAAAGTATTTTCTCTCTAGCGCCGTCTTTGCCGCCGACCGAAGTCGCGGGCTCAGGAATACAAAACCGAGGTTTTCCTTTCCGGACAGTTTTCCGCGGTATATCTGACGGGCACATTTTCTTTTCAGAACGCGACGATAGGTACCTTGGGAAAGGTTTTTCTTTCCACACAATGTTTACCCCCTCAAAGGAGTCGAGTACGAAACGATTGTTGTATTAGGTTGTCTCATAAGTTCCTTCCGCATCGTGTATTCATGTCCTATGAAAAAAAGGGAAGAAACTTATGGGACAACCTAATATTTCTGACGCTCCGATGCATCCCTTGTCCACGCTTGAATAAATGTTGTTATTGTTTCTCCTCGTTAATTTCGCGCACTGATTTCCTGTCCCTGTATCACCTCGGTTCGATCCAACGGTAGAAACACAAATTGTCCAATTCAGACTTTGTGGGTGTGAAAATCAGAAAAGCGACGATTGGAAACGTCGGCTCTTCGAGAAGAGAAAGAGAACGCGTTCGGATGTGTAGTAGATGGAGAGAGAAGGGGAAATAAGTAAATAATGCCGGCTTGGAGTAAGTGCGCCGAAAGTTAAGGCCCCTCGCCGGGTATTTTCGGTTCAACCAGTCCAATTGGCTGCGGGCTCGAAAAGTAATTGCCAGATCCGAGATAACTCCCTCGCAAGGCTACGCATCCCCCCGAAAAGAGACGCGGCGACCCCAATCATCCGGTCCTAATTTTTCGGACGTTAATTTCGAGTAATCTCGAACGACTCCGCACGCAACGTACTTTTCTCGCGGTTTGGGCCGATTCATTCTCTTATTTCCCAGGAAATCTTTTTAGATTCTTTCACATTTCATAAGGTCGTGCCAAATGGCAACGGAAACGCGCGAGATTACAACCGCGGTACTTTCGACTTACAAGCCAAGTCTCGCCGAGCGGAAGATATTTAGTCGCAAGGCGACATCGGCGACGTCACTCCAGCCTGGACGGAAGTTTCCCGGCGAAGCTCGGAGTCCTCGGGATCGCGACCCCGGCTTTGTCTCGTACATTTGTGCAAGCTACTTGCGACAACGGTACGACAAGCCGAGACACGAGGTCCGGAACCTAACATACACAATTCCCCATGGACAGTGTTTCCAGGTTCCACGTTTCCGGGATTCCGGAGCCCTTTAACCGGATCCAGACCATGAAACCGGAAGACGACTTCTCTCCGCAGAGACACATTCACCCCGCTTCCCCCGGATTACCGATGTGACGAATTGAACGTTTCAACTCGTTAACTTTAGCGAAGTATGTATTCAACTCGAGCAATCTTTATTGTAACTCTTATCCAAACATAAACATATACGATACTCATTTCTCCGAGAAAAATCGTTATTCGAGTAGTGTTCCTTCCGAAGTTGCCATCCTTCCCCGAGTAACTAACCGATTCCCTATTTTAACAAAGCATAAGTGTCTTTACGAACAGAACGAAGAATACGAAGGAAAAAAATATCCATCGCTAATGGCAAAGTCCTCGACAGTTCCATTTCCTCCTGAAATGTTAGGACAATTCGCGTGCTATTATTGTTCTAAAAATGCAGGGGTAAAATAATAGTAGAAATACCAGAATAACAGGACGGTTGACAATACTGGTTCGGTGATATACCCATCGAGGAACGCGTCCTAATGCTCCACCTCGTCCACCTCGAAGAACCACTCGCCTGACGTCCAAGAGATAAGACAAACGCGAGCGCTATGACTCAATAGGCCCAACGCGATTCGGTTTTATCTCGACAACCGCTCCTCTCGACGTCGAGCTAAAGTGCTCGTACGGGTACGGAGCCTATCGATAATTGCAGGATCGATTCCCAGCCAGGTTTGAAAAGCACTCGGCAGGGCTCGGAATTAAAGGCCGATCGTACCGTTGCCCCGGTATCGGATCGTTTCCTGGGCATGCTCCTTCCGTACCTTGCGATTACTCTAGCGGTGCATCGAGTAGAAATGGGGAAAAAAAAAAGAAAATCTCGTGGAAATCGCCTCGCGTACCTAATTATATAATGCGCGTACCGCACGACTGGAGAGGGGGTCGTTTAAAACCGAGAGTCGACGCGTTAGGCCGCACCGTGGAGGCCCTCTCCACGAGCGGAGTCACCCACGAAACGAGTGGTTCCGAGGGCCACTCTACCCGGTACTTTTCTCAAAGAGATAAACGACTCGGAACAGTTGTACGAAGCGAGGATGCCGAGCTCGTGGTTCGCCTTCCTCCTCCGTTTCGAGTTTCCTGCGTGCAGTCCTCTCTGTCCCTCTGCCTCGGAGAGCGCGAGGCCCGACCGAGAATCGTTTAAACGTTCGGCCGAACCCCTTGATTTATCTCGAGGATTAACCGGAATAATCGTATTCCACCCATAAAACATAAGGGCGAGCTAACGACTCATTAATTTCAATGAGCACGAGCCTCGTTCCCACAGAGAGCGGCCTCCGGCCAAGGGGCCATCGGTGCTCGCAGCTTTACGATCGCCGATCGCGAATCCGCGATTTCGATGCCCCCAAGTCGACGAGCGAACCGCTAGATTCTCGGAGAACGATCCCTACTTGTTAATCTGCACATCGAGGTACCGGTAAACGATGTAACGACGTCATTTTCTGGAGTACATCTTGGGCTGGGCCGAGGAGTCGCGTGACGGATCTTCCAGTCTTTCGAGCGTTGGCAACGTAACGAGGAAGGAAGTAGTTTTTCGAAAGGTTAGCCTCTCCGCCTCTTCCACGTTCGCCGGGATTTATCCCGAAAACGAGCTCGATCTCCGAAGATACGGGGAAGCGATTATCGACGGTCGTCTCGAGTTAAGGGCTCGGGTTCGCGTGCCGAGGTCAAGAGGTATGAGGAACGAGAGGCGTGGGAACGGGAACGACCTCGACTCCATCCTCGAATTAAGTTCCTCTCCCTTCGTCGCGTCTTTTCCATCGTCAAGGGCCGACTTTCGTCTATTAAAATGAAGTGAAACACGTCGAGGAACTTGATCAACGTCGATGAAGAAGATTTTTCTAAATGCCTACGTTGCCGACGTTCGTTTTTATATTGACAGCTGTGTCGAATTATATTGGGTATTGTACCAAATGGTATATTCCACCTGTCGTTTTCGTACAATAATTATAAAGAAATCGAAGTAAAACTCCAGAAATCCTCTGGATCTCTGCGCCATCTGTGATTTCCAGGTCAATTAAATTTGCACTCCGAGACCTCGTATTACCATCGTTTTAGCAAAGAAGCGCATACAACACTTTTTTTGCCTTTATCCCGTTCAAATGCGAGTTTATTGATTACCACAGTGTTCTAAATTGTCGTAAAATTGTCCTGACCCTTTCGATTTTCATATTAGAGCCTTCGATAATTGTATATTGATCGAAATATGAGAACTCGACGCTATTTTGGTTCTTACGTTAACAAAAAGACTAGATTTTCACGAAGAGAATAGAACAGAACGGAGCAGACTGCTCTAGAAACGTCGAACTACCGCCTAAGGTCCTTACCGAATTCAAAGTTGTAAAGCTGTTGAAAATAAAAGCAATTTTAATCTCTTCAACACCGGAATCCAACAGTCTAATACTATTTTTTCTCAATGCGGTAAGAATTCCCGAGTTGAATTTTTAATCCTGCTTAGGATTTGTAATTATAGGCCTTGGACGGAGTATGTAATAATAATAATAGTAATAATATAAAGGGTAACTTCTATATGATTAATCATTCGACTACAAAAGGCGTACGTATATGCTCAACATTTGGTCCACTTTTGCCTGCACGCCGTCAGGAATTTCGCCCATACGTCAAAAACGCTTAGCATTCAAAGGTCTTACTTTAGGCCTTAAAAGTGGCGGATAATTCCATTTATTCTACCTGTAGACCTAGTAGAACATAATTCGTATTACGTTTGACGTAAATTGAAATATAGAGAGTGAAATAGGACCAAAAGAAGTCTTCATTAGGTTATAAGAAGAGTTGAAATTTCGGCTCGGGTCGGGATACTCCGAAAAGTCAGTTCATTGTTGGATCAATTCGCGGCACGAAGAGGACCCTAGGCGCTTGGGTCTCGCCGAGAGCGCCGGAGAAAGAGCTCGCAGGCCCTAAACCTGTCGGCGCCGGTTAATTATCATGCTAATTGGAATATAATCCCCGTAATTAGCTGGGTACCGTGTCAAAGTGACGTCGAGGTTGGCCAGCGCGGTCTGGCATCTCCGGAGGTCCGAACTCCCGCGACCACGATTTGGCTATGTGTGATAAACTATTTATTGTTCCCTTTAACCCTTTGTCTCGGGTCGGATATAGGGATGTACCACCTGTATCTGACTTGGAAAACTTAGATGTTATCATTAATATCCGTACCGAGACTTAGGGTCCTTACTCGAGGGACGTCGAGGTGTACTCTTAATAAGATTCACGAAATTCATACACTTTCAGTACATAAGATTTTAGCAATACTGTCAAACTTCTTAACAGTGAATTAGTATACATTTATTATAATATTCTGATTGCCTGATTATATAACATCACGTTACAATATCGTGAAATTGCGTGGAAAGCGTATAAATTTCGTATTTACATTGTACCTATCATTTGCAATTCTTATTAGAGGAGCTTTTAATATCATGACCATTTCTATCCGTATCCCTGTGATAAAATAATCTTCTTCTAGACGCGAATGTACTGAACTGAATGCATCTATCCACTAAATTAACACACGTTATTTGAACATTTTATAAAATTAATATACAGTGAATGAAACTTCCAACAAAAGTTTTATGAAATTATTTGAATTTTTATTCTCAACAGGGAAGACTTCGCTCTTCTGAGCGAAACTGTCGAGTGTTGGGATCGTTCCTGAGAACATCTAGAAGAGATCGGTTCCTCGAGACTCGTCGAGTCATCTGGAAGACGGAGAACGGCTACGAGGAACCGCCCTCCGTTCCTTTCCGACCACCTCGTACACCGGCTGCCTTCTCGCGGGAATCTTCGCATCATCAACCTCCCGGTTTCCGCTTCCCTCGTAATCACGAGTTTGTCTATTAACATCGGACTCGCGGCGTTACAAATGACGGTGGAACGGAAACTGTGACGCAAAGCATCTCGACTAGGATCAATGGTGGGGTCAAGCTCGAAGTATAAACCTGGTCGTTCGGTTCGTCCAAGAAAGGCTGAAATAGCTACCGGTGAGATCTACGAGCCCTAAGACCTTCTCCCAAAAGGTCGGGGCCTTTTTGTAGGTCGGTCTCCTATTAAGGTAGGTCAGGGAGGCGTCGTAAATCAGGCAGAACTCGGGGTAAAAGTCAAAGGAGTTATTGCACACCGTATGCCAAAGGTACCCGACACCATGGTGTCCCATTAATGGGACGAAACGTAGGATGAACAAAGATAGACTTCAGAGGGACGCGGATTTCCGTTTTTTAGGAGCTTCCAGCGATTGCTAGGCGTCAATTCATGAGGAACACGGACGAGACACTCGCGCGAAAAATCGTCTTCCTTCTCAACAATGGTTTCTCTTCGATGCGGACGGAGGTGTGGAGGTGCTGGTGATGCATCGCCACGGGGCACAATTGTCCGTGACCGAGATCGCGACGATGGGGCACCGTGATAAGAAAATGTCCCTCTTATTAATTACGATTTCCGTTTTTTATGAGCTTCTACCGATTGCTAGGCGTCAATCCAAGATGGACCCGGACGCGACGCTCGCGTTAAAAATCGTCTTCCTTCTCAACAATGGTTTCTCTTCGACGCGGACGGAGGTGTGGAGGTGCCGGTGATGCATCACCACGGGGCACAATTGTCCGTGACCGAGATCGCGACGATGGGGCACCGTGATAAGAAGATGTCCCTCTTATTAATTACGATTTCCGTTTTTTAGGAGCTTCCACCGATTGCTAGGCGTCAATTCATGAGGAACACGGACGAGACACTCGCGCGAAAAATCGTCTTCCTTCTCAACAATGGTTTCTCTTCGATGCGGACGGAGGTGTGGAGGTGCCGGTGATGCATCGCCACGGGGCACAATTGTCGGTGACCGAGATCGCGACGATGGGGCACCGTGATAAGTAGATGTCCCTCTTATTAATTACGATTTCCGTTTTTTATGAGCTTCCACCGATTGCTAGGCGTCAATCCAAGAGGGACACGGACGAGACGCTCACGCGAAAAATCGTCTTCCATCTCAACAATGGTTTCTCTTCGACGCGGACGGAGGTGTGGAGATGCCGGTGATGCATCGCCACGGGGCACAATTGTCCGTGACCGAGATCGCGACGATGGGGCACCGTGATAAGAGGATGTCCCTCTTATTAATTACGAGCTAGGTGGAGAGTCGGCCCGTGTTTTTCCTAGTTAACTGCTAACGAGGGACGGCCATATGACACTTGACTCGCGAGATAGGAAGATAGGCTAGAAGAGGACCTGCGGGATTTACGGGATCTTCTCGAGGGGAAGAGTGTTCGTTAAACGGGAAGATCGTCACTGGAAATTCCTACTTTCCATGAAACACGTGGACGTTCCGTGAGATGGTCAACCGTGTGGACAAGGGTCAAGAAAGAAATCTGTCGGTCAGAGATCAACTCTTCCGAGGAAACTTTTTCGTGGCCCGGCGACGTCTACTCTGACTTAAGGAGGCTTTAATAACGGTTCGTCCCTCGTTTGCCGTATCTTGGCCGTATACATCCACGT